CGACTGCCGCCCTTTAATGACACTCATTATACCCCGTCTACTCAATTCTAAAGTGTGATTAGAAGCAATAACATGGGTTGTCTTCGGTCCCTGTAGAGAAATAAGAATACTGGTACGCATAAATGAAAAAATAAGCCACACACACATCCAATAACAATCAAACCAGACAATATTGTGTTCCATGTTTAATGCGTACGTAATAGCGAAGTACGTGACGATCATGATAATTGTAACACGGGTCCGACATTTGACCCTGCTTTAACTGTTGCAATATCTTGGGGGTTTAAAAAAAGTATTGGGCTCACATCTAGGCGGAAGTGGTGCAAGCGAGGGCGTAAGTTTAGGTCCGTCAAATTATACGAACTTTGAAACAGAACATAACATCGTTCTTGGATGGCAGCTTCTAAAAGCCGGTATATTTTTCCCTAACAAATGTCGCATACCTACAATAAAAAAAACGTTTTATTTTTATTTTGTGGGTGATTGCTAAAATTCTTGTGCCTGTTGTCATTTGCCGAGTACAAATATCAGTCCAATGGTACCGTCATTGTGAATTCTCGTTTCAAGTGGAGTGAGCCACGGGACTTGTTTTCGCACCTCAAACGATCTTATAATCATGGCATTTCGAACAATGGACGTGGTGACGTGGGAGAAAGAAAACTCTATGTAGATGCAAAAACAATTCTCATCTCGCTCATTTGCAAATAATGTCTATTACGTATGCAAATAATCTAAAGTACTAAATTTCATATGTGCATAATCATTATAATTAATTATTGTTAACTTTTATTTAGAATAAATCAATAAAAACCAAGCAAAAAAAACTAATCCATATCTAAATTCATTTCATAAAAAAACTATTACTAATTACTATATTTACTAATTACTATAAAGTAGTGAAGTATACCACAAACTACAAATAATATTGTCACTTGGCAAGTATGATATTAAGTATATACTGACGAAATGTGAGTTGAAGCAATAAGTATGTTAATTATACAATATTGTATGCACAATTTGAATTTTAAAGATAATCAACAGTGCTAATTGGACACACACTGCGATTACTGAATAATGATAGAATACATTAATAACCATGATTGTATCATAAATGCAAAACATGCGTTTTGTATTATTTAAAAACTTGTTAACAGACACTACAAGTAAGAAAACAAAAATAGCACCAACACAGCCAGCTCGGAACCTTTTCCTGTCTATGTTGACCCATGGAGGTCTCCTTTTACCTCCATGGTTGACCCATTTATTTAATTGTATCCTGGGTTGGCATTGAAGTAGTCCTCCACTGGGATATGCTTTCCGCCGCCAAAGAAGTCAATAATCCACAAGTCCTTGATATCCAACTTCATGAACTCCCAATTGTGGCTCTCTGGCCAGGTGGGCATCAGTGGGTGGCGCGTGAATAATGCTTTCTTAGCAAAGTCTCTCTCGCTTTGTTCAATCACGGAAACCATCTTGCCTGTAATCATGATAAATGACATATATGTGAGTGAGTGAGTGAGTGATTGGTTGTCCCAGCTGGTCCCAGTCGTAGTTTCACTGTAGAATAAACGCGGTATCACCAGTATTTTTATTCTATTATGTTTGCTAAGCAATCAAGATTGTTTTTAAATCGGGAGAGTCATCACCTACGCATGCGTCAGGTGGCCATAGCGTGTCATTGTTTACAAACAAGCGTCTACCCATGAGCCTTTGCGTTCTTAGTGTGTGTTGTTATCATCGCTTGGGACTCAATTGCCACGCGCGCGCAGGTGACGACTCTCCCGCTTTAATGTTGTTGAAAAAGCACGACTACTGCTCGCCAAAACAAAACAGAAAATTGTCGGGAAAAAACACTACATTTTTAGTGAAATTATAAAGTTAAGTTTAGTTAAAATCAAAACAAATATCAGAAAGGTGTTACCAAGCCATAGTCACTTACCAATAAGTACAAGCCGCGTACACAGTGGACTTTCTGGGTCACCGCCGGAAGTGATTATACAGTCTTCAATATCGTTGAATTCTGCCTCACTGAAGCTTACTGTAACACTGTTATTTGTTACTATATCCTGTATAGATACGTCCAATGGAGACACGTAGAAATATGGAACGCCAGTGCTGTTGTCAGGGAGACCATCGGCCAAGGCGTTTGTATTGCTGAACGCCAAGCCAGTCATTCTGGGCTGAGTAGAGATGGTGTTTACGACGGCCCAGTCAGCCTAAGAGAGAATGTAGCAAAGGGAACATGTGTTAAAGGGCGCTGTTTATGACTATTAGTATATGTAGAAGTTATTGCTCCCTTTAATCACCGAAAATAAATACTATTATCTAAAGTCGGCAATATCAAAAAAACAACATTACGTTTACATGCATTGGCCGCCGGGCATACTCTTTAAACATTCCTTAAGTGAGATTTTCGGGTGGGATGCTCACGTCACACCAAAGACAATAACCATTTTAGCTAGACTCCGCAACCGTACTGAAAACTCCTTGGTTGGATCGCAATAAAGTGAAGAAAAAATGTTTTACAAGGTTTGATACTAATGTCTTACATGAATGTATATTATTACGTAATGTTAATACGAATATAGATTTATAAATTGTCATTACCCTGTGTACCACGTATCTCGCCCTGGCAGCGATGTCCTTGTAAGGTGGACGGTTCACATTTTGTACCTGGTGAAAGAGAAAATACCAGACGGTCGGTAAAGTGGGATGAAATGCACTATTCAACCAGGCTCTTTAAATGAGCTAATACACGAGGATGATGACATTTAAAACAATTTCATGTAATATATTCAGACAGCTAGATATTGCAGCTTATGAAAATTGTATTATTGTTTGTGGTTCGTGCTTGATTTTTTCCTAAAAACAGCATCTATTTTGTGCTAACTTGTATCATTTTTAATATTATTTTATAGAGATAAAACGATAATCAATCAATCGATATTTTAATGTTTTGAATAAATTGATGAATCATGAATGTTTTTGGCATTTGATATTTTTAAAACAATCGGGCAGTAGTTGAAACTAAATTACCCGAATACCTATTTAAATAATACTTTCTGTGTCTAGTGATTGATATATGTTACTATAATGACAACATATACGCGCCGACATTTGGTTCACACGATGTTGCAGTATTTTTTTAGAATCAACAACTTGCATATTTAGGGTAGACATTATAAACATGTATTACAGGAATTTTAAAAATAGATTGTTTAATAATTGTATTCAGTTGTAGCAATTTCGCAAAGCTTTAACCGTGAGACACATCGTCCCACAGCTGCGGCGATTGGATGATCGCATGTTCACTTCGCCACGCCTTGGAGAGTTTGTAAGATTTTGTAACAGAAAAAAAGAGAAAGGGGCAGTTAGGTATGACCTCAGCTGGCGGTTTGGTTGAATAAAGCCGGACTATCTGTAATGAACTTATGTGTATGCCTTTGGGCCGAACCTGGTATCTCTACGTGTAAGTGTTATCAGCCAAGCGAGTCAAAGTTCCCTCACACCTCTCAGTCTGTGTTCACAACAGTATACCGCCATATAGAGGCTTTCTTCTTGTGAGACCGCTATCTGTTTGCTGCCCTGGTAAGTAAGTCACGTCAGCCATGGAAATAAAATCCTTACAATTAAATATTGGCGATATCCGAGTTCTTTTGTAAAGAAGAAAGTTTATTCCAATTCTATCGTAAGCGGATGCACGCAATGGGGTCACTGAACTTATATTTATCCATGGACTCGGAACAGATGCGATACGAAAATAGAAAATTATGACGCTCGATGCACAGTATTATGGGAAATGACACCAGTGCAAGATCGTCAGAAAGAGGCTTAGTCTAACAAGAAGACAACCTATTTGACGTTTCCGCAGGGCCCCCGGTGTGATCTCAGCTTGTACCGTAATCCCAGAGATCCGCTTGGCAAAACTCATTTTTCAATAGATGGCGCCCTCTGGAGAACCCCGCGGCCATCTTCATCAATTTGCAAGTGATTTAAATTAATGTACAACGCCGGTTATATAAAGTATATGATATGATTTCAGTGTTCACATTTCGGCGATGGCCGTTAGAAGTTGTCACTAATGACACTGGGAATGTTTTATTCAAAACAAAAACCACAGAAAAAAGATCGATACTTATTGCCGCGTAAATGTGTAGTCTTCAAACAATTGGGAAAGTGAATTTTAATTAAAAGGTGTCGGGGAAGGTGCATCTCATCTTTAATTAATAAGCGGAAGGTGAAATACAACTCACAGTCGTGCAATGTTAAAGGGAACCTCAATCCAAACAACATAATGGCCGCTAAAGAAAAAGCTCCACAAATGTAGGAAGAATGCAATTTACACTTTTTTTATAACAGTTTTCATTCTCTAGATATTCAACTTTTCATCGTTAATAAGTAGTCAGCCATCTTGATTCTCAAGCAAAGGATTATGGGTAAAATATGACAT